AATCAATAATTTGGAAATCCCAAATTCTTACATTTTGTTTTCCTGCTTCATATTCTTCATATATCACCCGGTCTTAACCTACCTGCTAAGCTGAGCCTTTAGTAGCTTAAATATGCTTGTACATTTGTGAACTTGCCTGAACGCAGTTGTATACAATGCCATTCTGGCATTGCGCATATATGTATGCGGGTCATTCCATACAATATTTACACCTCAATATTTTTTTTTTGGTGACATATATTTTTTTACATTCTTTATCGAAAAATAGAAAAACACCTATTTTCTTATTTCGTCATGATATTCCAAAATCTCGAAAAAAAATTCCCGAAATTTTGAACTCACGGAGGAGTATCTTTTTTCAATTTTTTGCAGTTAATAAACTATTTGTCGGAGAAAATCAGTTAAGGTATCAAAATGTGCGTAATTACCTCGGCTTTCCACGGGGGCTAACTTGTTTAGAAGGATCTTATAAGATACTCTATCGAATGCCTTAGAAAAGTTGGTGTAAATACAGTCCACTTGAAGTCCTGTCGAAAATGCTGATATACAAAATTCACTAAAAACCAATAAATTAGACACAGTCGAACGTCCAGAGACGAAGCCGTGCTGATTTGAGCAGATTAAAGATTTGACCGCAAAATAGAGTTTGTCCTTAACAACGATTTCAAAAAGTTTAGAAATGGTCGAAAGTTTCGAAATCGGTCTATCATTTTTACTTCCGCTTTTGAAGAATGGTGTGATTGTAGTTATATTGCAGTCATTGAGAAACGTACCCGACGAAAGTGATTTATTAAAAATAATCTCTAACGGAATTGACATCGATGGACAACCTTTAACTAAAATTGCAGACAGTCCAACTACTTCAGTTTGCGAAGAAGACTTGAGAGAAATAATGCCCTTCAAAATGTCATCCGATGAAATATGTAGCTGACCTAACGATGAAATATGTAGTGACAACGTTATTGGGGATAAGACAAGAATTTCTTGATTTACCACACCATCTAACATAACACAAGTTAAAATCTCCAAGGACACAAAAGTTTTTATCGTTATTATCTAGAGCTAGCCCAACTAAATTATCCACATGTGATTTGTATAAATCGAAGTTGCTATTAGGCGGAATATACGCAGCAATTAAATATAAGGATCCATAAGATTCACAGCCCTTGATGCAAACACATAGCTGATCAAGCTACGAGTCATCATTGTTAAGTTTCACCGAAAATGCGCGATATTTTCGTCTTACAGCAATTAGAACAGCCTCAAACAGCCAGTTTTAACGGAATCACGATCTTTGCGGAATACGTCGTACAAGTTTGGGTCAAAAAACTCGCTATCGTGGAAATTTGAATTCAACCAGGTCTCTACAATGACCAGAACGTCATAAGCCTCCTGTGCACTATAATGAAGTATCTTATTTGATTTTGTTCTTAAGCCCTGTTTAGAATCAACAGTTCGATCGCAACTGTTACATATTACACAGGTTGAGTTTGAACTACCTCTTTTTGAAAAAAACGAAATGGTCTGACTTTTACATTAGCAGGCCATAGCGATGCATCCAATATTGTTTGGTAATTTGTTGAGGCAACACCCAGTTTAAAGTTTATACGTTTGTGTTTACTTACTGGGTCATCTTTTTTTATCAACATGTAGCAGGAAATATAATAGGAGCGTTCCTTATCTCCCAGAAATAGTCAGAAAAAGTCCGAAGTAGTCAGATTTAGTCCAAAAAGCGTTCCTTAACTCGGAAATGACAGCAAAAATGAGAGAGCAACAGTCAGTGAGAGTGACTCTCATCAGTCCGAAGTAGTCAGATTTAGTCAGAAGAATTTTTTCTGGCAAAATCCTGAAAAGTGTCAAACTCAACTGAATTTAAATTAACGGAAATTAAAGAATACGCAAAAAGTGAGAATAATCTAAAAAGTAAAAAAAATGAATTGAAATTGGAAGGAGGCAAAAAATAATTGATATAGTAAGTGTTTATTGTGCTTGTGCTTGTGTGAATGTGTTTTGTACATACATTTCCATTCTTATTTGACGTTAGCTTTGTTGTTGCCATTCTTTTGACTAAAAATTTGGTTTTTTGCGTTCCTTTACTTTTCCTGTTATTCTCTTTTAGTGGGCGCATTTTGCTTACGCTCTGGCATTTTGACACTTTTCAGATTTTAGTCCAAGAAGATAAGGAATGAACCTAATCTATAGTATCTGCATGTTTAGCTACATACTTTTTTATGTCATCAACAGAAACTTTCGGCTCAAACGAAGATAAATGAACCCACTTGTTACGAACAGCATCGGAGAGCTCAGTGCTATCATTCGAGTCAACAACAACCAGTGTTTTCCTACGCCTTTTGCTCTTAACTTCAGTCCAAGCGGCATTGTTGCTTGGATCTTTGTTATCACTTACAGGTCTATTCTGCACGTTACCGAAGATTTTGTAACCGGAAAATTGTATTACCAAAAAATGTTACCAGTTCTTGTCGCCGCGATTCTAGGTACGTTGGTAATGCAGTTAAAATATTCAGCAATTCAGCTATGAAGAATTGTGCAAATCCTGGCATTGCATATTTCAGGGGGCAATAATTTGTTACCAGCTTATGAGATGGTAACAAAATTTACCGGTTACAAGAGTATACAGAATGCGAAAAGGGTTTACAAATTGACAGGAACTTTATTTACCGGTTACAAACTTTTTATTACCACCGCAGACCTTATTAGACCTGTTAAAGAAGATGATTGAGAAGAAGAAGTAAAAGTACCAACAGCGGTCATCTCACTGTCATCTCTTACTGCGTTATTGTTTTTGTCAGCAGGTAAAGACGAGTTATCACAGCCCGTGAAGAAGGGCGAAAAGTATGCGAAATAGTTTTGTTTACGTTATCTGCATGCTCAACAGGAGAGCACAGACTAGTTGGTTGACCAACAGCAAAAACACCATTGTCATCTGCGAGGGAGTTAGCACCAACAATACCATCAGATGCAGTAGTAGCAGCAAAAGAAGTGGAAGAGTTCACGTTCAAGAGCAATTTACTGAGGTCAGCGACATTAGATCCTGAGCGGGTAGCTCTGAAGTTTACATTTTCTGCTGCGACACTATTATTCGCGTTGTTGTTAGCCACTTTTGATGATAGGAGATTTTCCGGGTTTTCCAAATTATTGGCGATTTTTTCCACTAAAATCAGCCTTAATTTCCTTTATGGAACACATGGCATTCTCAAGCTTAGCCAAGCAAAACGAGATGTTCACATAGCAGCAGGCATCACATTTAAACATCAGATTTTTGTTAGGTTTTAAGAATTTAAAGCTGGCGGAATTTAGCTTTGCGCATTTCAAATGAAAATTCTGCGAACAAATTCCGCATGAAACAAAATCACAACCCACGCACTGCGAGCCGCAATTAGAGCAAAAAGACATCGCGAAAGTATTTACATATGTTTATGTATGCATAAATATGAAGTACACGACGGAG